TGCGCGCAATTCGAAGGCTGGCAGGTCACCACTCGAAGTCTCAGCTACCAGGGCAAGCTCAAAGCTTGCTGCAGGCGGACTCCGCTATGGCGACACACTCTTGGTGCGGCACATGCTACGCCAACCGGTCTTCCAAGGCCTCGTATTGCTCAGTTTGTGGGGGTGCCCTGCAAACTTACACGACACAGTGGAATCGGGATGCATCGGCTTCACCGCGGCGCCGGACTGCTCCCTCTCCCCGACGTTCCAACCGGGGAAAAGATGCACCACAATATCCGAGACAAGGCCCGGGAAAGGGGAAGCAAGCCAATGCCACCCGCACCGGGAAAGGGGGCGACAAGTCTGCCAGGACGGAGGCCTCGACCGGTCCGGCCCTAGCCCCACCTCCAGGGGAATGGCAGGCCCCGAATGCGACGAGCCTGCCGCCGCCACCTGCACAACCGGCTCTGCCGGTCGCGCCAGCGGGAGCACTGTCCAGTGGCAGCGTGTCGCAGGACAGGGCCGCTCTACAGCAATTGGTCGCGGCAATGGCCCAAAGCAAAGACAAGCTGCCCGAGCACGTCAAGGCGCTCCTGGAGACACACCAGATGCAGGAGACGGAAGAGGAGGCCAAGGTCCTTCACAAGGCGGTCACGGCGCAGCAGAAGGCCAGAAAGGAGCTTGCGAAAATCCGTGCGGCGCGAGCAAACTATCTGGCAGGATGGAGTACCTACCTCGGCCAGATCCAAGGTATGCTGCAGCAACAGCTGGAAGACCAACAGAAGGTCTTGAGCACCCTGGATGCAGGAGAGTTGCAATGGACCTCGAACTTGGCAGCGGCCTCGTCATCCCTGAAGGCGAAAGTTGGAGGGTCTGCAGATCTGGAAGCCATGGGTATCGACGAAGAAGCAATTGCAGAGGCGGAGGCCGAAGCAGCCGACGCCAAGGTGGACAGCCAACTGCATCTGGAGCAAGAGCTACAGAAGCAGAGAGAGATGCACCAGGCTTCAGCCAAGAGCTTGCTCGAAGCCGTTACAACTGCACATGCCAAGGCTGCGTCGGATGCAGCCACAGCGGAACAAGACAGGGAAAGGACGCCGAGGAGGAAACGAGCGCATACAGAGGAAGTCGTTGTTTCCGACGACGATCAAGCCAAGACTCCGGCACCGCACCCTGGCAAGGCCCGAGGCTAGATACGTCACAGTGGACGCCTACCCTTGGGCTGATACACACGGTCACCATGGAGGATGACTGTGTACATGCTGGCCACGCGATGTTGCTTGGTCTTGCTTTGCAGTATGAAGTTTCTAGGGATTTTGAGGTTCAGCTGATCTCGGACCCTAGGACTTTGGAGGTTGACGATACTCCGAATCCTCTTTCCGGGGTTTTCTTCCCTCCTAAGGCCTCCGCCCCTAATAAGGGTTCTGGCTTCTGCTCGGGTTGTATCTGCCCCTCCTCTTTTGCATCCCGATGTGTTAACAGCCGCACGCCCAGACTCGTGCGTTTTGCAGACGAGCAAAGAGGCTGCGATGAAGCCGCCACTGCCGGAGCACAACCTCCTCACTTGCAGGTTCTAAGGTCCCTAAAGAGGTGTCAGGTTCCTAAGGGCCCGCCATATCGGGCCCCTGCCTTGCCCCCCGCAATGCATGCAACCTGCGAGCACATGCCTGCGTGTACCCGAGGTTTAGGAGAGGTTAGGTATTGCCACGCTCATGGTGCCTGCACTTTTCATGAAGGATCCGTCAATGGGACCGATGCCTCTCCAACACCCCAAGGCACAGAGGAGACTTGCGAGGCCACCCAAGGCCCGGCCTCCCCTGAAGGAGAGGATGTTCTTGCTGCAACAGGGGATACTGCATGGGTTGCACCCGAAGTCTTTCTTACGCAGGTTCCCTTAACTGCGCGCACAACTGCTGCATGGCTCAGTGCGGCAACCCCGGTGCCACTAAGCCTGATGGAGGCGCAGATCGCAGAGGTCGTTCAAGAGGAGGCATATGCTTTCTTCGACACCACAGATCACCTGCGCCTACGCAGCATGCAGCCTACGTGGGATTTTCAACAGATCCTGCAAGATGCGGTCCGTGCCTCGAGTGACGGACCCATCACCTCGGTGACAGTGCTAAGACCTAAGTTTGAAGGCCTCCCCTCCATCCAACTCATCCTTAGGGCTGCACACGTCACACCCGGCTGGGCACCGGTTCCTGTTGATTTACGGCAGCTAGGCAGGGGGTTTTGCACTTACTCAATACCCATGGACGCCTCAGCATACGAGGCAGCGCTGCGGCTTGTCCAGGTCTGCCCAGGACCTCCCAGAAGGTTTGCTCCAGATGTGGCCAGAGGTCGTTTGGGCCTCGACAGTTTGAGCAAGGCACAAGGAGACCCTTTTGCACCTGGCATCTTGCACCCCACCCATGCACTGGTCGCTAAGGTTCATGTCACGCGTGCAGAATCCTCCGAGTCTGACACTAGCATAGCAGAGGCTTCGTCAGACACTGACAACAGCACTACTGCCCGCTTTGGTGTTGTTCCGCATGAAGAGCATCATGATGAACTCACAGTTGCCTTCCACACTCCGGGGCGGCCGCCCTGGATAAGTCGTTTTGCGCGGGTTTGCACTCATGCACATCTTGTGGAGGCAGCTGCAAATCACTTTGCTCGCGGTACAGACGTTTTGCGCTGGAGGTCCCATTTCCTTCCCCTGCAGCCGCACCTTGCAGGGGTTGACCTGCACTGCATCATCTTGCCTGCGGAGGGTGCAAATGCGTGTCATGAAGCCATACTTGCAGATTTCCGGGGGATCTTCGGCCCTTCTCCCCGGGCACTTGCCGCCATTCCATTTGATAGGCGGCTACCGCAAGTTGAGCAGCGCATCCTGGGGAGGGTACGTCAATTCCTGATTGACTCGGCTCTTGTGGACCCCCCGCAGGACTTCATCCTTTCCTTAGCAAACAAAGGAGGCGTGCTTGCTCTGGCACAACAGGCTGTGCATGCCGTACAAGACACTATCGATGTCGCTCTGCACTCCCCGGGCCTCAGGCAGACTCTCATGGCGGCCGATGCCACCCGTGCCATCTCGGCATCCACCACATCAACAACCACGACCACGCCAGATGAACACATTCCCGCGTCCAGTGCCGCCGGGTCCGGGGATAGCCTCCATAGCCACCCTGCGCCTCGGAACCCTCTCATGTGCCGATTAGGGATTCCCGAATTCGGTACAGTTACTGTCGAGTTCCTTGGCAATCCTGACCTGGGACAGATCTTGGCTGCCCTTTGGCAAGCAGCCGCGCGCAAAAAGGCCAAGCTTGAGGGATTCCTCCTCTCGGTCAACGCATGCCAACCTGAACAAAGGGTCGCCTTCCGGGAGATCCTGTTCACACTAGTGCCTGAGCAAGCTGAGCGTGGCGCATGGATATGGGTTGACCGACGGCCCATTGCTAGCCTCCTCTTTGTTGTGGTTCCATCCAGCAGCACAGCAGAGGCACTACCCCTTGCCGACTCTCGCATTAAAGGTTGGTACCTTAATGGCGTTCGTTGGGATGGGTATAGGTCTGTCACTTCTGGGTCACTTGCCGCACCTGGCTTCACACATGAGGCTCCTGATGTCAGGCCGGTGGGGTATTTCTTGGACCGACTGCCAGGCATTGCTGCCTGCATGACCCCGATGCAGCCTCCAGACGGTAGCCGCCTTGAGCCGTTTGCAACCACTGCTGCAGACTGGCAGCAGCACATCATTCAGCGGCTCATCGACATGGGGCATGCACAGCCGAATCAGCGAGGGTTTCTTCACTGTTGTTCCCGTCTCCGGCCCAGGCAGCCTGCCTGTGATTGCTAACTGGCTCCATAGATGGGCCCGCAATTGCCCGCCCAGGGCCCGGTTGTTTCAAACCAACGGAGTGAACGGCCGGCATGTCTTCATACTCGGGCCAGTTGACCTTGATGCTCAGAAGGAATACTTGCGCTTGAGCACCACCAACATGATGCCTGTGCTTTTCCGGGTGCCACACTACGCGCACCCAGACGAGCTTCGCCGGATGGCACCAATTGAAGATGCAAGGAACAGGCCGGTACCCGGGCGTCCCTGGTATGCATGCTACTTCCCCTCTGCTGACTTCAGTGAGCATGTCGACCTGCCCTTGGGTGACCTTCTCCCAACAGATCTGCCATCAGAACAGCCAGGGACTCCAGTGCCATTCGCAGCGGACCTGTCGCCGGAACAGGCAAGAAGCTGGCAAAGGCCGATTCCTGCAGGACAGCCGCGCCCCCGGCCCGAAACACAGGACCTGGTCGGACGGCTTGATTCTGCCTGCGCTGTCCAGGGCACACAGATGGCAGCCTCTTCATCCATGGCCGGACCTGTGACCACCGTCAGCAGATTTGCCGGTCGACCAAGACCAAGCCCTGCCAGGCCTGTTTTCTACCAGGAAGCCAATGCCGAAGCCCCTCGGCCCAGCACAACCTCATCCACTACGAACATGTTTGCCTTGACAGGGCAGCCAATGCTTTTTCTGGTCTCGGGCGATGCCCTTGCCGGCATTCAACCGGAGGGTATGGATGCACCCTCCTTAATCCACGCCCTTTCTTCTCTCATGCTTGAGCACGCCAAGCGGGGCAGCGCGCCAGCCCAGGGGGCCTTTCGACTGGCACAAGCGCAGCCAGGGCGCACGGGACCAATAGCTGAAATACTCGCTATTTGGTATCCACTCGATTTCCACCTCCACGTGCTAGTCGATAGGCGCCCTTTGGGCGGAGGCCTCCGGCATATTAGCATAGATTCGGACCACCTGCCGGAAGCCTTCCTGGAGGAGGCCGAAATTGCCGCAGGCGCGCGGGCTTATGTGAATGGCGTGCCGGCCCGCGCCATGGCGGGTACTTTACAAGACGGCGATTATGTTCTGCTCACGACAGCCTCACACTCTGTGCCAGCGCTCCCGCGTGCGGCGCTTTTCCGCACCTGGCCGCACACGGATATCCTTGCTGTCGATTTCGCCACTACGGACCTTTTCCCACTGCCGGAAGACATGGGCCATGCTTTTGAGCAGATACATGATGGGGTCGCCAGGGCATGCGAGGCACGCTTTGTTCTGATTGGCCGGGCATATGCCCACTCCCAAACCGCACTGGTTCATTCTAGGGTCCGAGGGGAGATTCAGTTGCACATTAACTGCCGGATCCCGGCCTCAGCGGCACAGGTGGAAGAGGCCCTAGCCCTCCTGCCGGAGTGGCAAGATGCCAGGACTGTGCATGATACTGGCATGATGAGCGGAGATGCTCCCATCTTCATGGCGCAGGACATATATGAGTCCAGGGAAAGGTGGCACCTCATCCCCGTACCGTACTTCTTGAGACTGTTTTTGCTCTGGCCGGTTAACGAGCAGCTTGTGCAACTTGCAGATTCACTGCCTGCACCACCGCATCTACAGGTCAATGCAATGCAGCAGAGCCGCCATGGGACCGTGCACCATTTCCACCCTCGGGATCTAACGGACTCACACAGCTTGCTACAGCTTGCATGCACATCCCAAAAGGGGAGCTCTAGTCCATATGAGGAGCCGCCTCCAGCAGATGCACTGCCGCGACCCGCTACCCTGGGATGCAAGGCCAACCACTTCCAAACGGCCATCAGGCCGATGGCTAGCCTCAGACTGGTGCCGAGTGAATTCGATGAGGTCGTTGACAGGGTTTTTCTGAATGTCGCACTCCAGATGGCTCCGCGGGCCCCGGCAGAAATCGAGACTCGCTTCACTGTCTTTGACCCCATCTTCCAGACCCGAGTGTTGACGCACCAACCGGGGCGTAGATGGGAATGGACACTGCTGGCAGTGTTACGGGCAACGGCACGACCCATACGAGCAATTCAACGGCTCTCTGAACCCATATGGGGTTTTCCAGAGCCCCAGTTGGTCGTGACCTTCGACACCACGCCTCCCGACCATGTGGCGATCCCTGTTGATGGTCGTCCCCTAGGGAACGCAATCTGCACGGTGCACTTGGGGCCACGAGCCATCTGGGAAACCCTAGGGCAGATTCTGCAAGAGACGATGCCTGAGACCAGAGACTGCCGAGGTATCGGGGACCGTTTTCTGTCGGTTCTGCGAGACGGTCACCTTCTTCTCTCAGATGCAAATCGGCCGCTTGCCGACCCCTTGCCAGACCGTCTCTTTCTTTCCCAGTTCCTCACACCGCACGTGCGCCCGCACACTCCTCCAATCCCTGCCAGCCTCACAGTGAGCGAGCCAGCTACCGGGCCCAACGAGATTCCGCACCCGGAGGCCGTTGACGTGAACTCTGCAGCTGCACCTGCACCTGAGGCGGAAACAGGTGAACCGCGCCCGCTGAACTGTTCGGTGCCCACACCGCACGGTCGCAGGACCATAGCTGCTGCAGGCCGGCGGCCGGAAACAGCCAAGGCCTCGATAGCTCGGCCTTCCTGCCTTGCTCTGGAGAGGCTGGTCCCACCACCTGCCCCTGGCATCGCCTTCGGTGTGCTGCCTGAGATCTGCGCGCATGCGCTGCACGAGCACACCTGGGAGTGCCTGGCGCAGGATCTCGATGCCCTTTTTGAGGTCCTCCCAGTTGCCCGGGTTGGTTGGAAAGCGCTGCCGCCATACCGCAAAGACCAGCCCTTGCAAGCCTGTTACTTCTACACCGACGGCTCTTTCTATGCGGATAGACAAGCTGGGGGATGGTCTGTCGTTGTTCTGGGCCTGCAAAACGGCCACCCTGTTGGCCTTGGCTGGGTAGGCGGTGTTGTGCCTCATGCTACGTCCGCATACGAGGGTGAGGTACGAGCAATCGTGCACGCACAGGCCCTTTTCCTGAACCAAGCCGCCGCCTTCGGGGTGATTGCGTCGGATTGCAGTGCGGCACTCGACCTTGTCTTTGGAAATGCCAGCTTCAGCCCAGAGGACGCTGTCGCCGCTGCAGCAGTCAGCCTGCGCGGAGCTAGCACTGCGAAGGGCCAGCAACTTTTGCCACTCAAAGCAGATGCACACACGGGGTGTGCCTTTAACGAGCTTGCTGACGCAGTTGCTAAGTCCGCCGCACTGGGATCTGCAATGCCGGCTCTGGCTTTCTCGCCCAGTAGCTTTTGGCAAGGTGTAGCCGAAGGTGTCATAGATTGGGCCTGGACCTGCTACGGCCGGCCCAATTCAGCACAGGTGCCTACGCTCGATGCAAACGGAACATGGTCAGAGGCTGCTTGCCTGATGCCGCCTGTTCCGCTACCGCCTGGCACCTACTTTGCGCCTGAGGCAGTAGCTGAAAACACGGTGCAGGAGCTACATGTATCTCTGGTGCAATACAACTGCCTTTCCATCAAAGGCCAAGCCGCCAAAGAAATCATGGCGACTGCACTAGCCCAGATCGGCTGCGACGTTGCGGGCCTCCAAGAGACGCGCACTGCCGACGATGGCATCAGCACACCGGGGTCATACTGGGTTCTGAAGTTCTGAGTTCTCCGGCTACCGCCGAAGGCGTCGGGGGCTGCCAGATCTGGTTGCACCGCGAAAAGCCTGTGGGCCATTCCACGGAATCCGGGCAACCGTTTTTCTGGGAGCGGAGATCCTTCTCGATCCTTTGTGCTGAACCGCAGCTACTGATTGTCCTTGCGCATGCCGGGGGGGCCAAGTTTTGCCTTATCAGCGGACACGCACCCATTGCGTCTGCTGCAGAACACACGCGCATGCGCTGGTGGCGCAGGCTCGCACAGGGTATTCGCACAGCACCTAGGGGATGCATCCCCCTCATCTTTGTGGATGCCAACGCACGCTTTGAGGCGAACAGCAATACCCCTGCGACTACTTGCTCAGCACCACGCTGCCCCAACGCACGAGCAATGCTTGCAGTTGCCAGAGAATTTAAGCTGGAGGCCACGCATCAGTTCTCTCACACTGGGCGGCGCATCGCATCATGGAAGAGTCCAAAAGGGCGGCTTGGCCTGATTGACTACATCATGTTCGATGCGGGTTTTGCCTCAGCAGTGAGGACGGATGACACCCCCGATCTCCAGGATCTGCACTCTGGGGTGGACCACTACCCTGTAGCGGCCACGCTCAGGGCCCGCATTGACGGCGCAAGACGGGAACATCGCCCCCGAATTTGCAGCCGAGCCATCAAGACACAATACGGGCAATCCGTTTTGCGCAGGGCCTTGCTCACCGCGCCCACGCCAGGGTGGGAAGTGGACGCCACCAGCCATGTTGAGGCTGTCCACGCACACCTGCACACTTTTGTGACCAAACACCTTCCCCCCGCGCCTGTGCCACCGCGCCACCCTGCCCTTACCGCAGCCACGCTAGAGGAAGTCAGACGGCGCCGCCTGCAGCGCCAGCGGCTGCGCGCCCTGAGTAATCAGGAGCGCAAGGCCTTCTTGCTCTGTGTCTTCCGCGCTTGGCGGAACCAACGACCGCCCCTGAGCCAGTTCCTCCGCATCTCGGCTTGTGTGGCCGACAACGTTGTTGAACTGCATCGGCTCAACAAACGGGTTACAGCCTGCTTCCAGTCCGACAAAGCCCAATTCTTGCGGGAGCAAACCACCCAAGCGCGGGCATCCGGGCCAGCCGCCTTTGCACACATGGTCAGGGCAGTCACGCGGCAGGGGAGACGCTTCAAAACACCGCATGTCGTGCCCCTGCTCCACACCGCAGATGGCCCAGCTGTCGGAGCCACACAGGTCATGCAACAGCTTGGCAGACATTTCGCGAAGCCGGAAAGAGCCCGGCCTGTCCCCGAAGGTGCCCTGCGCAAAACTGCACAGACCGTCGAGCCTCTCACGGCGGTGGTCGACGCACAGGAGTGCCCCACTTTTGCAGACTTGGTGCGTGGCTTCAAATCTTTGCAGGGCGGACGAGCCAGTGGGCGTTCTGGCTTGCCAGCAGAGATCTACCAGGCCGACCCGTTTCGCGCGAGGGCACTTTTCCTGCCGATCGCAATGAAAATTGCGGCACGGGGCATGAATCCGCTTCAGTGGTGTGGGGGAAACGTCCACTCCATACCCAAACCCAACAAAGACGCCACCACCTTGGGGGGTTGGAGGTCCATCCTCCTCCTCGAGTCTGACGCAAAGGCGTACCAAAAAGCCTCATTGCAAGCTCATCGAACGGCTCGAGCATGTGCGGACTGTCGGCCAAGTTGGGGGGCTTCCCAAGCACACGCTCTCCCAGCCCTCGGCCCTCGTTCGAGGACACCTTTTGTGGTTACGGACCAAAGGCCATAGTGGCGGGGTCTTGTTCCTAGACTGCAAGGATGCTTACTACTCTGTGGTGCGGGACCTCCTTGTCAGGGACCCTAAGTGCCAGTGGGACCCCGCACGGCTCCAGGAGCGAGCTCAGCTTCTGTTCGTGCACCGGCAAGACCAGCTGACGTTCATAGAAGAAATGACGGCGGGCAACTGGTCAAGGGCACTTGCGCTGCCACTCGAGCTGCAGCGTCTCCTTGCGGCGCACCTCCGTCACACTTGGTTCGCCGATGGCAATCCGGGAACCACGCTGTATGAGACAGCATCTGGCTCTGCTCCGGGGGCGCCAGTGGCTGACACCATCTTTGCCTTCCTCTTTAGCCGCTTTCTCCGCGACCTCCAGGAAGAGATGCGCGTCTTGGGTCTTTCGCCTCACCTTGTGCAGAACATCCCGCCGGACAGCTGCGCCGAAGCGCCCACTTGGGCAGATGACGTCGCCATACTGTTCTGTGCTCCGGACGCGAAACAAGCCAGCCAAGCCCTCTCGTGCATTGGCAAGATGGCAATCTTCGGGCTGTCCTCACTGGGACTGGAGGCAAACTTGGGACCAGGGAAGACTGAGGCCATCATCTCCCTACGCGGCGCCGGTTCCAAATCTGCCAAGCAGGACATGCTCTGTCAAGCCGTGCCGACGGTGCATGTCTGCGCGCGGGGCTACGCGAGTGGGTCGTATTGGGCTCAAACTATTTTTCCACTGCTGGCAAAGAACCTTGAAAGGCTTCGGTTTGAAACATTGTTTCGTGAAACATGCTATCATGCTTTCTCAAGACATACAACAACTGCTCAAAGTGACATGCTTTACAAATGTTCGGTAAAACGCTCGCACGCCCCTTAAAGGCATGCTAGCTTTGAGCTAACACTCGGTTTTCAACGGTGTTCGTTGAAACGGAAATGGTGCTCCAAAAGGCCTAAGCCTGAGCATATGCCAAAATGGCTGGTTGCGAATGACACATGTGGGCTGCGCAAATCTGCAACGCATTGACAGCAACTGCGAAGTTTGGCTTCCACGGCATAAGCTTCCTTCCTTGATTACACAGGCTTGCTACGAGCTCAATTTGCTTGGCGTCGTTCAACAGCATGCGCAAATCTGATGTGCTCATGTCGACCATGCTTAAGTCAACCAAACACTGTCCCTTCAAAGTAGCATCCAAATGCTTTGTTAGGCAGTTTGCCGGGTTCACGTTGCCAGCAACTTTCCCAACTTTGAGGGCCTGTTGCTGCACAAGCTCTTGGACATATAGCGCTGCCACTTCTATGTGTCGCATGCGGCTGCCTGCACCAAGACGTTTGGCCGTTTGTAATGCAGTGCTGGCATCGGTCCAAAGTCTTGGCACACCTAACTTCATGTTGAAATCCTCTGCAGCCAACTGTTTGATGAACATGATGTCGCGCGCCCCTCGGCTCAGAGCTCTAGTCTCTGCTTCACCTGATGATGTAGCAGGTGTTCCAGGCTGTGTTTGTGGATGTGCGATAACTACACTGCCTCCCACATTGATGATGGTGCAATCTGATGACCGGCGAGTGTCAACACACCCCCCCCAATCTGAGTCCGTGAAACCATCAAGGGTCAGGACGCCAGTTGTTTTGCTCTCTGAATTCAAGGTCGTGACCCTGGCAAGATCCGGTTTGTGCAGGAGGTATCGTGCCAACACCAAAAGGTTTGACCAATCCACCTCCCTGGGTTCACGCATGTGACGGGCGAGTTCCTTCACTTCGAAACGGATATCCCGACGATCAATGCTCAAGTAAATCAGAGAACCAACGCACTTTGGGAACAGTTCGGCACGATGAGCGTCGACTGGCTGCGTATTCTCGTCCGTATGAACGATGCGCTGGCCTGCGACTCTCGATGGCTTCGCATGCCAGAGGTCGAGGATGGTCAAAACATTTTCACGATGCTTGCTATCTGGGAGCGTGAAAAACGTGTCAGCTGTGCGCAATTTTGTGCGGCCTAGCACGTTGACTTTTGTGCCGGGTTTTTCGATGCTGCCATTTTTCATGTCCAAATACTCCCCCAACCCTTCGCTAGACTGCAAAAACTCGAGATCCGGGTCGGAAGCCCCAATCCGAAAATCATCAACATGGTGCAGCAATGTGGCATCTGTTGCCGCGCACGTGTACACTGTGGGGTCGCGCCGGCCGCGCACGAACCGATACCCTTTTGGCACCAAGCGCTCAGTGACCACCTTCTCAAACTCCTGCCGGTAGTTACTCCCTGCAGGTCGTCGGCCATACAAGTTTCCTACCAGTTCGAGAACCACTTGCTTGCATAAATCCACGTCGGTGATGTTTTCGAACTTGGACTTGGTTTCCGCGCTTTGCTCCGACAACCACGAGCGAAAGTATTTGACGTACTCAGGGGGCATGCGAACATGGACAGGGTTGCCACTACTGTCGCCTGAATCTGCACCAAGCAGGTATGCACAACGAACGTCGCCGGAGCGTGTATGCCACCCTTTTGCGAGGCATTTCAGCTCAAGAAGAACATGTGATTCTTCATACGGCGTCGGGGCGAACGTATTGGTTTCTTCGGCTAGTTCTTCTTTGGAGTACTTCTTTTTGATGTCTGCACATGTAAACCGCGATCGATACACTCCCCTTTTGATTTCGTCGACCCACTTGAAGTTGAACAGCTTTGACTTGCGCGGGATTTCGGACTTGAGCTTTGGGACTGCAAAATGCTTTTCGACAAGTGTGGCCATTTGCACATCTCTGGCTTTTTCCACTTCGCGCGGATCAAGCTGCGTATCGAGCAAATCAAGGACTGAACATATCTTCTGCTCCCACTGACCACTGCGTGCCCAATCCTGGATCTGCTGCAGGGCGCTGCTGATTAGATTGTGCCTACTTTGGGAACCTTGGGCTGCGACTCTGTGGCCGCGGCAGCGGGCTCGGAAGGCTGAGGCAACGGGCGCTTGTCTGTGCTGTGCACTGGACTGGGTAATGGAATTGCATTGACGCCTGTGGGTGTAGGGGCATCCCGCTCAATCTGCATAGAGCCAGATCCGCGGAATGGGGAAGCTGGTCCTTCTATCTCACGCGCAAACGGTGATGGCGGTGTTGGCGGGGTCATCGTCATGCGATGCGAACTGTCAGGCGTCATGCCCCGTGCTTCGGACAATGGCGTTCCAGGGACTGAGTTCTGACCGCTCCCTGGCCCAAGCGCACGTGATTCATGTGAATCTGACGACGTTGGTGCATCGGGCATGACTGGAGGTCTGATGCAGATTTGTCCTGGACAACTAACGTCGGGCTGTGCCGACTGCACGTCGCCTGAAGCTTTCGGCGCAGGCGCGGGGGGATCCGATGCCGGAATGGGCACTGCAACAACATTGCTGCTTTGTGTGCGGACCTTGCTGCGTTTGCCGGAAGGTGCCCACGGTAGGCCACAGGCATCGTTGAGGTAGCTCACCTCGTATTGATCTGCTGCTGGGACGCGGCGAATGGATCGCACGGTGATGGCACCGGCATTTGTCAAAATGACAGCCGAATCATCTAACTCTAACCTCCCGACAAACAACCCCTTAAACCACCGTGGTTTTGACTTGTTCAACGACTGTGTGTTCGGAACTTTACACAACACCACTTCGCCGAATTGCACAATGGGTGTGGCATAATCCCGCCCAGACACAATGCGATAGGGTGTCAACTTGTCGGATTGGACATGGTATCGGGCCCACACGAAAGCGACCCATCTGCAAAGCCAAGGCACAACAGGATGGTTGATGTCGAGTGGTTCTGCTGGGTTGGGGTATGCTTGATTCAACGCACTGAGCCAAGTGCGAAGCATGCCAGCCATCAGCCGGTTTGCATTTTCAGCGCCGCCTTGGCTCGCGTGGCTGTAACGAGGCGCAGCTCGGATTTGGACACGATCATGTCCGAGCTCTTTTTGTACCTGCTCTACAACAGTGCGCAATGCGTGCTCTTGATCATGCTGAATCACGACTTTTGCATACCCGAGGCGTTTCACCCAAGACACGACGGCTCTCACGACGTATGCATCGGCACCTTTTTGGGGTACGAAGGCCATCATCGGCCACCCAGATGACAAGTCAGTCCCTGTCAGCACCGTGGCGGTTCTACTTTCCTCTTCGACTAACTGGCCGTCTCGGCTGAAGAATTGATAGTCTACTTGGAGAACAGGGACTTCAGGATCCTCATGCTTGTTTTGGCGTCGATGCTGGGCGTCAGGGGCCTTCCCCGCGACGCAGTGAGGGCACCATGGTGCAAAGTCAGCATGGGTGAGATTGTGGTGAGCTCGCTGCTCGTCAGTCGGGGCGTCTGGAACAGGAAGCGCAGCAGGCTGTGGCAACGCAGGCTCCACGTCAACGTCGATGCTGTCTGGGAGGGCAGCCTCCGCGGCATTGGAGCCTGGCTCACTGGGAGAATAATCTATGGACAGCTCATCACCATCGATTTCCGCTGCAACGAACTCTGCGGTAGCGTGATGGGGATGCCTATCCTCATACGGCATGTAAAACCGCGCACCAAACCTGGGAAGAATGACGGTTTGACCATTGGGTGTGTCCATGTGCGCCGGTTTGCCGGAGGATGACCGATAGAAGTGGAGATCGCAGTCGGCATCATCAAGGATCCGGCAAAGTGCCATGACAGGTTCCGTCGCGTCAGTCACGTCCATGCGGAAGGATGCTGGGATCTTGGTGTCTTGACCATGGCAGTCTGTTGCCGGGATGGCGGTAGAAGCGGTGAGTTCACCCTTGTGTCGAATTCGAGTGCCGTTGATGGCCCACAGCTCTTTCTGCCTTGCTGGGTCAACCGCAGCTGCCGGAAAACACTGCTCATCTGCACAGCTGGTGGTGGCGCCCGAATCGACCAACACGTACTTCACGGAAGATGCTGCAGCGATGTGTTCAGTGATCTCGACAGCCTGAACCGGAGATTCACTGATTGCAAACAACATCTCTTGAATGGCACCCTGGCCCTTGCGACCAGCACTCTGCTGTGACGGCGCCGCGCTGGCAACACGAAGTGCATCCAGCTGAGACTGGAGTGCCGATATGGTGGACGCCACGTTCTTGTCAGAGTCGATCGCGCCCTCGGCTGATGCGTTTTGTGGCGGACCACGTTTGTTGCCCTTGCTATCCCCTTTGGGATTTGTGCGCGCGTTAAAGAAGCAGGCATCCGTGCTGTGGTTCTTGCCTTTCTCTGGGCCGCAGATGGCGCACGGTGCTCCTTTTCCTGGCTTCCCATTGCTCGGATCACCCTTCTTGTTGTCCTTGCCCTTACCGTCTCCTTTAGTCTGCAAACCTTTAGACCCTTTATCTGGGTTGCCCTTTTTACCACCCTTACCACCCTTAGCCTCTTTACCTTTAGGTTTGGCATCTGTGGCGTCGAACGCTCCGATCTCCATAGGCGCAGGCCCAGAGTACGGAGTCAACGGTGCAGAAGCTGAGGCGGATCCAAAAGCTGTACCAGCACCACGCTTCCACAAGTTTTTGGACTTCAAGTATTGCACGATGAATTCTCGCAGTGCTTTGTGCGTTGTCAAATGGGCGGAATTCATGGCAATCTGTGGGGCGAGGGCTTTCGGAGCAACTTCAGACAGTATCGCGAGCTTAAGGTCTGGATCGAAAACCTTCTTGTACTCACGTTCATATTTGGCAATTTCGCCTTCCCACTCTTCAAGGCCACGTTGCCACTGACCTTCCTTCGTGGGAAACGATGGATTGGAAAGGACCCGGAGCCAAGCAAATGGTTTATGCTTATTCTCAGGCTCGTAACGGGCATGCATCCGCCGCCAAAGTTCAAAACCGTTACGGTCGGGAACCAACATGGCTAAAGCAGGGATTTCGCCAGCTTGACACAATCCGACAAGTATCGCAAAAAGGTCTGTGCAAAACCCCTCAGCCTGATCCACCATGTCGACCGAATCGATTTCATCCGGCTGCGCTGCTGCATCAGACAACAATTGCGGGTATTCCGGATCAACAGTGCCGATCCAAGAAGTGAAACTGAATTTGAAACGATCCCAATCGGCGTCGGTGCCCAGAAACGGCTCTGGAGGTTTCACCAACTTAGGATTGAGTGGCCTGCGTCTGGACTCCGCGGCTTGCGCTTGTGTGCTGCTCGCGGCTAACTGGGTGATGGCGGACTGTGCCACCGACAGTGCGGCATTGGTTGCTTGGGTTTGTTGTTCCAATGCAGCACGTGTGTTGCCAAGCTCTTGCTGCTGCGAGGAAAGTTGAGCAGTGAGCTGATGCACCTGACTTGTCAGGGCTTGGATTTGTTGTTCAATGTTCGCCATTATTGCGACAGTGAGGCAGGCAAACACTGAGGTGCGGATTTCAGCCAACTTATGACCTAACCCTTGTTCTAACCAGAAGGCTCAAACCTTTCAGGGCAGTACCACAATTGTGCAAGGTGACAATCACTCTACGGCTTTGGAACCGGAGGTTGCCACTTCAAACGCTCAAGGACGAATCCTCCGAGGCAGAACTTTGCTCCTGGGGGCGCGAAGACAAGTCGTCACACGGGCTGACACTTTCCTCGGCCTCGGAACCTGAGTTCAAAGATTGGTTTGCTGATGCACAGTGTGCGTCACGCCGGATCTGTGTCTTCAACTGTTGGACACGTTTCCGGAGAGCACGTTTGCGTGTAGCGGAATCAGACCGCTTCTTCGAACGGACGCACTTGCCTGTTTGCGGGTCATGCTTGCGGGCGCGCCTACTAACTGCAAGAGTGCCTTTCGCTTTGCCCTTGCAGGGTTCCTTTGGTCCTTTGCTTTTGCTACCCTTGCCTTTGCCTTTTTGAAGGCTAGGGGGGGCGCACTGCGTCCAAGGCTTGGAGGCCGAAGACGCGGGGGCTGCAGTGTTCTCGCGCTTCCGCCTTGGAGGCGGTGGTGGTGGCGGTGGCCACGGTCGGGTTGAACCGAGGCCCCGCTCTTGCTTGATCGTTGTGGATCTTAGCAGCTCCGCGTAACCATGCGCGCGGGGCTACGCGAGTGGGTCGTATTGGGCTCAAACTATTTTTCCACTGCTGGCAAAGAACCTTGAAAGGCTTCGGTTTGAAACATTGTTTCGTGAAACATGCTATCATGCTTTCTCAAGACATACAACAACTGCTCAAAGTGACATGCTTTACAAATGTTCGGTAAAACGCTCGCAATGTCGAGCTGCCCGGAAACACGCAGGGGGCTTTGAGAGTTGTACGGGATTACACGCACCTGGGCAACATTGTGATGGCCGACTGCAGCGAGTTGGCCAACATCAAGCACAGGGAGGGGCTGCTCATGCAGTCCTTTCACACATACCGC